CGCCACCATGAAACGATAAAAAGATTGAAAAGTAGTGGAGCGCCTACAATCTGAAGAAGTACCATGTGTGACCTCCCACTACATCAAAGCTCGAAGACTCAAGAAGCTTGACGGGCACCACCTCACAAGCCGAGGACTATCCAGTTGTTATGTAATTCTTACCTTACAGATAAGTTTTCGTTCGTTTCACTCATTTTTCAATGAGGAATTCAGAAGTAATCATAACTAGGCCCGGCTGCATGCTTACAACAACTGATCACTCTGGCATTTCAAAATAAGACTGTGCCATTCTTAGGGGCTCATCGCAAGAATTGCACCCCCCAAGGGACCAACTATGTTCTCCAGTGTGAGAGGGTAAACTAATTGCTCTCCAGTGCGAGAGGGTAAACCAATTTTCCGACACCCATATGGGTCAGCTCTCCAAGACAAAATAATAAACTTTACACTCCGAATATCTAGATGTGGATGAGCCTGGCTGCCCTAGTATAACTAGATGCACGATGGCTTGCACATGTATTCCTAGAAGTAACCACAAAGGTCTTTTTCAAGGCTTAGCTAACTGAAGGATTTTGGGTCTCTTGGCCTAATCCACGGGGAACCAGGCCCTAGAGACGAAGAGGGCACATTATGCAGTATGCCCTACAGACGGCTACCCTAGAACCCTAAAGCTGCTATCGAGTGCACTAAGGTAGCCTACGGTTTCTAGAAGACTGCATACGGCTTGCCCTTCGAGCAGTAAAGCCGTGCTAGACTTATATAACCGCACATTCTTGTGAAAGGTTAAACAAGCTAGCGCACATATACGAATTTTTATCCACTTCTGACATGCTACGTAGTCGATAAGCTTCACCTCTGCCAAACGTGGAACAACTTGGTTAACAACTTGGCAAAGTTCTACACCAACATCTATGGCTGTATAGGCTATGCGAGCTTGTGTGCTTATAAAAAAGTACCATGCATGCCACTGGTCTATTAAGTCTAAAGGTTAGGGCACGAACAAAAGAAGTGAAGATGAAGAAAAGCGAAATAAACATGTTTATAAACAATTAGCAAGGGCCGAATGAGTTCAAGCAAAACAAGAGCTATAAGGAAAAACAAATAAAATCCTAAAGGCTACCTAGAAGACTACAGCAGCTTGAACATCCCACGACTACTCGATCGCCACACCTTCAGCAGCCGTGACACTCTTATCAGCGACATCATCCGGCCCTTCTCCTCCAGCTGCCCTAGCCTGGGCATTGACTTCTCCAACTACTTCACCAATGGAAGCCTCAAAAGTAAAAGAAAGCAAGTTTTCCAGAGAAATAGAGAAGGTCTCGAAACCTCAAGCCCATCATTCACACCTTTCAGCTGCTCATTCTTCTCAAGCAGACCAACACGGACACACTGCAGCTCATCCACTTCCTTCTTCTAACTTTCGTTGATCTTCAGTACACCTTGAAGTTCCAACACTTGTTCAAGCCTATCAACGACCTTCTTGAAGTGGTTCACTTGATTATAAGCAACAATCGACTCTTTATCCTTTTCATAAGCAGCGAAACGAAACTCAGAAACTGCAAACTCAAGATCTTGAATCTGAGATATGTAACATCTAATCTCCTTATCTGCACTTTCATACTTAACTTGGATCGCGTCAAGCTTAGTTTTCAAGTCAACAATATCTTGGCGAACGATCTCAAGCTATAGAGAAGTGGGGGCAGAAATATTAGACCTCTTCAAAGCAACAAGCTCAGAATCCAAACTCTTGATCTCCTCGGCTGAGGAATAAGCTTCAGCTGCCATAGTCTTCGCCACCTCCTTGGCAACCTTGCTATATATGCATCATAGCAAGCACAACAGTCTTTCTATATTGGGTCGTATGCTTCACAAAGGAACTTGCGCAAATAACCTTTCTACCGCCATCAACAAATTTAGCACAAACGTCCATGTCTTCAAGCAGATCTAGTTTCAAAAGCACAAAGATCTCAGCAGCCTCCCCAAAAGCAGGCTCAGTGAATTTCTCACAGCTGCCCACGTGAGCAGTCTCTTCCTTCCTAGCAAGCGAATCAGTCTCAGCAGCAAAGGGATTGGGCTTTGGCGCCACTTTAGTAGCAGAGTCCACCTTATCGTTATTCATAGTAGCAAGCCTCTCCAAATGTGAACCAGACTTAGCTCCCGACAGATATCTTGGTACAGACTTCGACACTGGGGGCATGACATGACCTTTATGCTGAGCAATCCTATCAGCAATCGTATTAGCCATTCTTGACATGGTAAGCGCCACAGGCTCAGATCTAGTAGCCTCATTTTTTTCTTCCCATTGGAAAAAGTTATGTCAATCACAAGCATTTCGGCAGCGGGCAGACCTTCATGAACAGCGGAGGAAGTCTTCAATTTTTCTCGACCGGTATCTCTTGAGGAGGCGGGGAAGATCTATTCTTTCCATCTTTATTCATAGTAGGCTCCACGACAGTGATTAGACGAGCCAATGCATCTACCTTGATCCTCTTTACCTCCTATTTTGGGAGTAGTCCACCTTTCTCTCAGTGAAGAGAACTAAGCAACCAACGTCATTCACGGTACTCAGCAGGGGAGCTCAACCTAGCATTCCAGCAAGCAGAAGGCCTGCATGCCTAGTATTTCAGTAACTTATGAGGCCCACGACCTCCTCATTTCTCTCAATCGTCGGCCTGGCCCGCGTCAAGTCTAAGAGCCCAAAGGATATGAGCCATGCGGCTCACCTAACATTACATTTCAACGCTTCAATCCGAGGTCCTAATCACACAAGCTGCCCATGGCTCTAGCCAAGTTGAGCAGCCTAAAACAATGGTCCCTGCCACAACACCTCATCAGCTCATGCCGAGCCAACTCCTAGCCCTTGCCAGCCGACATGTTGCACCACCTTGACGGCTACCCCGTGACAGCACTATCCAAGAAGAAGACTAGAATTTTTTTTTTCTTACATTGTTATGGCATGGAAAAGACGAAGAAATCAATGAAAGACGGTCCTTTGCACGGGCAAGATGTAGAAGATTGCTAGAGGAGGAGGAACAAATATCCTCTAAGCTCTCTCTCTTGTAGGGTAGAATGAATCGCTCTCCAAAATTGATTTAATAACCCACTTAAGGTGGACTTAAATAGGCTTTGAGAGAAATTTATTTCCCTTTCCTAGAAGGACCTAATTTTCTATTAAAGAAAGAATCTACATCAAAATAGGAAGCAGTCCTACGTTTCCTAAAGCAAGATGATCTCTACACCTGCTACCCTTTCCTACGAGTAGCCCAACAGGTGTGCGGGCATTTGTGGAGCCAAAAATAATCACAAGGCGACACGTGGATTTTTGGACAAAAGGGGACAAAAATACCCTTAAGTTACAACGGGATTCCTACACGCGAGCAGCGGGCAATCATCCTTCAACCAAATCAAAAGTGCCTAAAATAGGTAACAAATTCAAAGTTATTTCATCCATCCTCATCCTATATTTTCCACAAGGTAATTATTTCATAACCTTCAAAACATCCCATATAAATTACATAACCCCCAAAATATTTATTCCAAAAATGTGTTGATTAACCAATTAAAATTAATCCATTAAATCACACATTAAACCATAAGTTACACCCCTATCCCTATAAATAGGCTCCCATTTTCACCAAAAGATCATTTCAACGTACTTGTAAAATTCCCAATGCTCTCCAAACACTTTTCTCTCTAAATTATAACTTTGGTATCAAAGGTTCTTCGGCCAAAGCCCCCCCCATTCATTGTGCGCACGTGAGGCTTTTGGCCTTGAGCCTAAGGTGTTAATTGTTTTGTAGGTTCAATTTTGTCCAAGATCAAGGAGGAAGAAATTTGCATCCACAAGTGATTTCTTGAAATTCCCATTGGGACAAAAGTATTCACCATATAAATTAGAATTCTGATTTTTCAAAATAATCCTTTAGAACAATATTAAATAACCGTTTTGTTGGATATTCAATGATTCTCAAAAGATTCAATCAGACACAAGTATGTCGTTGTTGACATTGAACAATAAAGTTCTCGAAAAAGGAAACATGGTTATTCAGTTATTCGATAAGGACCAAAATGATCAATTAGTAAACTGATGCCACTTTCCAATTTTTATCTCAAAAGGCAAATGATCATCATAATCAAATTGATGACCAAATAGAACATTGGTTTGAGCAAAATAAACCAATACATCTTTAAATCAAAACTTAATCAATGTTGTCTAATAAAAGTCATTAGTATTGACAATTTGCATAAAATAAGGACATATTGGAACAATAAACTTGTCTAAAAATCGGTACCAATAGATGTGCACAATTCAGTGAAACAATATCCCATAACACAACCAGTTGTTTGAAGTCCCAAAATTCAGCATACTAAATTATTTGTAAATTAATTGAAAACTCAATTCTTGTTAGGTTGTCATGAAAAATTTCAAGTATGAACTACACATAGATGGCTACTATTTCGAAAAATTTCATGATTTTTAAAATTTTATAAGTGAGCCAAAAATGAATTCGAAAATAGAGGTGCTGCAGAAATTGCAGAAAAAAGTTCAGTACAGACCTACATAAATTTTATTTACAAAAAAGTTACCGAAAAAAAATGTTAGACTAAAATCATTATTTAATAATCTCGGGCTAACATTTTAAGTCATAAAGGATTAGAGGAGAAAAGCAGTTTCGGGGTTATGACTTAAAAATTTCTGATTTAAATTTTTAAACTTTATTCTCAAAAGTTGAAAATGATCTTATTGTAGAAATATCGTTTATTAAAAAAAATAAAAATAAACTGGGCCGGTTAGATCCCAACCAAGCTAGCCCACAATCCAAAAAATAGGGTTTGGCTATGACCTTTTTATAACTCTATTTATTATTATTAAATAAGTTTAAATTTTAAAATTTGTATTTATTTATATCTTAAAATTTAAATTAATTTATCAACATGATGAACATTATTAAAAATTAGAAATTAAAAACTGAAAACACGATCTCATCGAATTGTTTTGAGCCGTTAAGATCGATGCTGACACTCTCATGCTAGGCTAGGGTTTCTGATAATTGCAATTGCTTTGGCACACAGGAGCAGCAGCAGCAGCAGCAGAGAAGAATATGGCATCCACCTCTGTCGCACTCTCAGCTCTCTCAATCTCACCCTTTCTACCTCTCAACCCCACAGAAACCCATGCGCCTTCTCTTCTCCCTCCCTTCCCTGCCACCTTCCCCCCTATAACCTGACAACATTTCTCGGCGCAAGGCTTTCTATTCGAATTCCGAATGTAAAGCACATGGCTTCCAAGCATCGGACGGCCGTCGCCACCGTCCTCTTCAGCCTCCCAACAGCGTAAGTCTTCTTCTTCTTCCAAGTGATGGTATTTTAATTGTACCTAGATTAAAGCCCTGCCCATCTGAGTTGTACTGTACTGATTTGATTGTTTTACAGGAAGCCCGACAGGATTTCTACTGGGAAAAGCCCCAAGTGAGTTATATTTATTTCATTTTGATTGCATTTTTGTGCGCGCCTATATGTGTCCATGTGAATTTGAATGTGAGATATTCATTGAATTTTGGTGTTTAGATGGTCCGCCAGAGCGATAAAGTCGTTTGCTATGGCTGAATTGGAAGCAAGGAAGCTCAAATATCCCAATACAGGGACCGAAGCACTTCTCATGGGGATTTTGGTTGAGGGTTAGTCAGCTTCTTGCGAGCTAAATCTCATCTGTACTTGTGCTTTCGTGTTATTTTTTTGGGTTAATTTCAGTTTAATACCATAAAATTTCGTAGATTTCAACATTTGGGACATGAAGTTTTTTTCATCTAGGATCATACCTCAAGCCTTAATTTTCAGTCTAATATATCCATTAAGTTAAAGTTGACTGTTAAGTCAGCCGTTAACTAGTGACGTGGTGTTCATGTGAATAATGACCGGATGCCACGTCATTAAGGGTCCATGTGGAAATTTAAAAATTAAAAACTAAAAATTAAAAATTAAAAAATTAGAAAATTAATTTAAAATTTAAAAAATTTAAAATTGAGAGAATTGTTATTAGCACTTCAAAAATCTCATTCTACACTCCTCACAAATGTATTTTTTCTTTCTAATTATAAAAAGTTGGAGTGCAAAATGAGATTTTTGAAGTACCAATAACAATTCCTAAAACTAAACCTAAACCTAAATTTTAACCATCCCCCATCGCTCAGACCCCTTCTTCCTCCTCTGTCTTTGCCAACTCGGTCTCCCTCCTCCGTCCCTCTCCCCACTCACACTCGTCCTTCCCTCACCACCACTTCCCAACCCAACCCATACCTCCCCTAATCCCTCCATACCTGACCTGGATTCCCGATTTGGACTCTCCACCACCATGAAAACATGGAATTTGCAGGCGCGGCGTGATAGGGGTGGCCTGATCTTCGGCCTAATCCTCCACCGCCTGATTTCTCCTCTATAATTTCCAACCTTGCTCTCAAATCTGCCGACTCACTTCCACTCGAGCTCCGACAAATCGGTCACCGCAGCCCCTAAAGGCAATAGTAATCCCTCTTGTGGTGGCTCTCGGCCCTCTGATTATATCCAGGTACACCGCTGTTCAGGTGGATTCCGTTGCAGCAAAGGGGATTGGGAGCGGGGGGTGAGGTAGGAGAGGTGGGTTGGGTGGGATGCAGAGGAGAAGGGAGAAGGAGGTTGGGGAGTGAAGGAGGGGCAGATTGAACTCTTCCTCTGTGAGCGGTCTAGAATCGGGTTTTTTTGGTTTTTTTTTTTTTATCGGAGGGGGAGATCTTGAAGAAGGGAGGAGAGGAGGAGACGGCCTTCACCTTCGTCCCCAAATTTCTGACTGCATCTCTCTATGATTTCTCTGTCTACATTGTAGAGACATACTTTTCGAAAGGGCAATGAATTCGTCCATCCCCGGTTTAGCACCATTCTGTAGAACCCAATTTGATGAGCCAATTTGTATTTGGTTGAAAGCCTTGAAGTAGTTGAAGAGTTGAGACAAGGAAGCGTAAGGTTTGATTTTATTTTATTTTTTAGTTTTTTAAATTTTAAAATTTTAAAATTTTAAAATTTTTAAATTTTTAAATTTTTAATTTCCACGTGGGCCTTAATGACATGTGGCACCCAATTGTTGTCCACATGGGCACCACATCATCAGTTAACGACTGATTTAATAGCCAACTTAACGGATGTATGAGATTATCCGAAAATTAAGACTTGAGATATGACTCTGGGATGAAAAAAATTTCATGTACCAAATGTTGAAAACCACAAAACTTTAGGGTAATAAACTGAGATTAACCTTTTTTTTTATTGTTTTTTTTGTTTATGAAATGTTAAAACGCTAGTAATTGCCTGCCTTAATAGAAGTGGATCCTTTTGTAGATTACAAACGGTTTTGTGCTAAGAGAAAGTGTGTCTGCACTTTAGCATTTCGAGAAGTATGAATGGTTATGAACTTGTCATGATGATTTTTTTATTTGATGATGGCCTTCATTCACCTCTTCCAGACCCTGCGTAAAGCGGGAGCCTTGTGCACTGGGTACGACCTTTTTATGCTGCATCTTGGGTTTATGGAAAAACTATAGAGGAAACAATACATTTTTTCTGTCAAGGGAGTTGATTTTCCCACACCCCTTTTAGCCTTCCACATACCCCTCTTTGTTTCTAACCATCATATTGAATAAATTACACTAAAGCAACAAAAATGATTAAACAGATTGTGTATGAGGAGATAAACGGGTGTGTATTTTATCATTTCTCTTTTTGAAAAGTGGTATTTTTGAAGTCTTTATTATGGTTCTTGTTATCTTTATCGAAACCAAGAGCAGAAAGCTTGCTCATTTTTAAATAAAAAACTAATCCTATTTTTTATCATTTCTCAAAACATTTCTTGAAAACAATTTTCTTTAAGACTCAAAAACTTGATTGGTAAGAGGAGAGAGGAGGAAAGAAAGTAAGAGATGATTGAAGGAAAGAGAAAGAAGGGAGAGGATTAGACAAGATAGAGAGAAAGAGGAGTGAGAGAATGAAGAGAGCGGATTGGAGGAGAGACAAAAAAGGTAAAAACAAAATAAAAAGAGGAAAGAGAAAGATGAAAAGAGAGAGAGAGATTTGGAGCGACAGGGGAGAAGGGAGAGAAAAGAAAGGAGTGAGTTTTAAGTTTAAAAACTCTAAAAACTCACTTTTTTTGTTTTTAGAGAATATACTATATTTTTTAGTTAGTCTTGAGTTTAGTTTTTTAAAATAGTCCTACCAAACAAGTTTTTAAGGCCTAAAACTTGAAAATTGTTTTTGAGTTTAAAAAGTTGGATTCATGTAGAGTACCAAACAAGAGATTGTCTTTTCGTACCATTATTAGTTTTATTTCTACTCTGATCTTGTAACAAATAAAATTATCTGGATGAGCCTTGGTTCACTGAATCATAAGTTGCTTACTTCAAGAATCTTACCATGCTTAAGACAAACCTGGCAGCTCCTTCAGTGGCTTCCATGTGCCTTTGCCTCTATGTCAATGTTTGTTTAGTGTTTTTGTTTTTCGTGTTCATGTTATTCAGATATATTACTTTTGGCTTCAGGAACAAGCCTAGCTGCAAAGTTTCTTAGAGCCAATGGAATCACACTCTTCAAGGTTCGAGATGAAACTGTAAATTTACTTGGAAAATCAGACATGTACTATTTTAGCCCTGAGCATCCTCCATTAACTGAACCAGCCCAGAGAGCCCTTGATTGGGCTTTTGATCAAAAACTAAAATCAGGTTTGTAAATTTAGGTTCAGAAAATCTGATGATGGTGATTTTGTAGTTGTTTGAAATCTAGGATTGTCATCAGTTTCCACCTTTCCCATCTAGGCGTGTATGCTCTACATGCATAATTGTTTGGTTGGCTAGTGCATTTTCATCCTCACTGTTTATTGAGATTGTCTTCTCTGATGCAGGAGAAAATGGGGAAATAACAGTAACTCATCTGCTTCTTGGGATTTGGTCTGAAAAAGAGTCAGCAGGTTACAAGATCTTGGCGTCCCTAGGTTTTGATGATGATAAAGCTACAGAGCTTTCCAAATCTGTAAGTTTTAAGCTGGATTTTCTTCTTGAGTAGTTTTTGTTTAACGACTACTAATATGGCTACTGTTTCATACAGATGGATAAGGATTATGATCGCACCTTTAAATAACGAGGCAAAAATGCTTTTTCTTTTCTTTTTCAAACAATCGCTTGCTGTCAAATGCCCTCCTACACAGCCTCCAAAAGATATTGCTTCCTGGTGCTTTTATTGAGGAAGTTCCTCTGCATATGGTGTGTTTCAGGATTCACAAATGATTGTTCTTTGATATAAATTTTGTATTCGTTGTTTAAGGGAATTCATGGAATTCAAAAATTCCATGCAGCAATAACATGTCGCCTAGTTGACTCTTACTACCGCAGGGGTTTCAAGAAAGAAAAGAAAATTGATTCACTTGTTTCTCTTTCATTACTTTTTACCTTGCCTTGCTAAGCATTCAGCCGCTTTCCAACATCCTATCTGCTTGTTTTCACACTTCCATTGTATTATGAGATCAAGAAACAGTCATTGAACTTGTACAGTGATTTTCGAGGTATGGATGTTTATACTTCAATTACTTAGATCAAGAAACGTTCATCGAACTTGTACAATGATTTTCGAGGTATGGATATTTATACTTCAATTACTTTGAGGCGCCATTTATCCTTGTATTATGTGGTTTGAGATGTGTGGCAGGTGCCAAGTCGGTTGAAGAAATAGCTCATTCAAAGTGCATAAGCTTAAGAGGTTCGGATGTTTTAAGTTTAAACTATCTTTGTTTAAAAATATATAAGTCAAGATTTAACGGTTAAAGCATCCAGACTATTCAGTACTCCAGAGCATCTAAAAATTGCCAAAGGAAGGGCAAGGCGTTGCGTTGTGTCATCATCCATGAGTCCATCCAGTGCAGCCTTAAGTTGAGACGAAATCTTATTTACTCTAGTCTAAAACAAGACAATGAAATTGTACCTGTGGAATTCCTCGGAAAATATCCGGCCTAGCATTTGGCATGGACTATTCTTAAGATGGGATGGACTGCGTAGTGGGGTTTACTATCTCGGTCACCGGGATAACTTTTACATTGTATCAATTTTGAAAAGCTAAAAAGAGCAAGGCCTGTAGTTTGTAGAATTAACTAATGACTCACTTTGAATATGTGATTGCAGGGAATTTATAGCAGAAGTCCTTGAGGAATGTTGAGTGTCTTGATAAAACTGAGGTGTAAACCTTTTCCGCCTGCAGTTTTCAGTTAATAAATGGAAGGATTGTCCGCCTCTTTGGTTTTATGATGCATCAAATCAAAGTTGATTTAAAGCAGTGGACTGGAGTTTGTTAGGTGCCTGCGGTGGATCTGGAGCAGTTTATCCACCCAGGAATGCACCTTCGTTTTAACAATACAAAATAACAGATTTTGTGCCAGTTCATGGGAACACATTATACATGTATGATGAAGGGAGCAAAACCGTTAAATGGAATCGTCAATTATGAATGTCAAGGCGTGAAAGAGAGAAATTGCTTTTGCTAAATACCAAGTTGTGGTGTGTGTGTGTGTGTGTGTTTTTTCTCTTGGAAACTGTATTGTGTGTTTTTGTATAGCTTTTTTGGGTTTTGCACACGTTTTTGTTTTTGATTATCAAATTAAATAAGTTATGAAAGTTTCCTTAGCATTTCTTTTTTACGAAAACAATGAAGAAAATTAAACAAGTGAGTGAAGGCATGGATTAGCTACTAGCCTACTACTTCTCTTGTCGTGTCATAGAGAGGCGTAAATTATATTATGCACGTGCTTCTTGCTTTCTTGCATTACCAAAGTCATACATAATGGATGTGCATGCGAACGATTCATTCAAACACTTATATTTTTATTTATTTACACGATACACCTGAATTAGGATTAGGATTAGTTGGGTGACGTGGATGATGATGAGTGCCTGCCCTGTTCTTCATGCAGTGATGGCTTAGCAGCTACGTTCCGGGAAATTAAGGAAAGCAGGTAATTAACTGACGGTGGACATATGAAGCTAAGCTAACCTCCTAGCTGGTTTACTTTTCAACCTGTAATAAATGGTCAACATAATAGACACGTAAGGTAAGCACAAGTTCTAGATTGTGACGGCAAGTCAAAGAGGTTGGCTTGCTTGCCTTCCAATCGCAGTCCAATTATCCCATGCCATGTTCTCCGTGTTCCATTGCCCACTCCGTCCCTCCTTCCCTCCTTCCCTCCCGCCCTCCATAATCCCATCTATATATACATATATGAATACTTGTTTGGATACTATAGTTTTGAATCCAATTCATTCATTCATTCCACTCGTCCACTTCCACCCAATTACAGTTTAGTTTAGTTTAATTTAGAGAAATATGGTGCTGATGATAATGGAAAGCAGCTTCGCAGATGTGCTGTTGAAGGTTGGCGTGTTCTTCCTGGTTCAGGCCTTGGTATATCTCATCCTTTCCAACTCATCCAACATCTTCTCCAAAACCACCAAGAGGTCCCACAGCTTCAAACCAGCTCGCTCTGTCAGTATTCGCCGGATGCTCGCTGCTCTTTCTGACTTACCCGCTGGCGGCGAGCTCTCTCCTTCAACAAACTCAACGGACACGAACACGATGATGATGCAGCCCCCTAACAGCAAAAGCAGTAGCCAAGAATACGCAACCACTCGATTCTCCTAATTAAATTAAGCACATATTCGTATGTGACATATACATCATTAATATATGTATGTGTATGCTCGCTCGAGTTTGAGAGATTATTATTCATTTGTTCTTGATTAATGTCTTGTAATATGTAACATTGGGTATATATTGGCATTAGAATTTTGTTACATTATTTCCGTCTGGCTCTTGAGTTTTAGTTTGAAATATTAATTTGTATGAAATTGGATGCCTCTGTGTGTGTGAAATCGTACATACCAGTACTTGAATCTAATTGTTCGGGCAGGAATTCCCGTAGGGGATGTTTCCTGGCCAACGAGCACACAGCTCCCCTGGAGGTTCGGCGCCGGTTGAGGGCTGCTGTCGGGCTTCTGCTTTCCTGTCGGGCTTTGTCGGGCAAGTCTCATCGGACAAGAACTCGTCGGGCAAGTCTCTTCGGGCAAGGCTGAAAGAGAAGGACAGCGTTAACTTTGAGAGGTGCCTTTGTGGGGCCTTAGGTGTAGGCCTTAAGGCTCATAATCAAGGTTAACATTGTAGTGCTCAGGCGTGCCACTGCCATCTTCAGCATGGCAGATGTCGAATGGATGTCAAGTTTTAGTTGGGAATATGCATATGCCCGAGGAACCGTGTTAGATATAACAGGCGCCTTTGTGAGGCCCTAGGTGTAGGCCTTGAGGCTTCCTGTCAAACTAAATCAGCACTTGAGCATCTTATATTCGATCTTTATGGTTGTCGGGGTCTGATAACTATTATATTTCTGATTATCCGAGTCTGCGAGGTAGAGCGAACCCAAATAGGTGCCTTTGTGGGGCCTTAGGTGTAGGCCTTGAGGCTTCCTATTAGAGTCCGTTCTTATACTCCAACCATTTAGACCGCAGAATAGAATGAATCTAGATAAGTGCCTTTGTGGGGCCTTAGGTGTAGGCCTTGAGGCTTCCTATCAGAATCCATTCCATACTTAAGCGTTCTATGATAATCATGATATAATAGAAATAAAACCAGGAGGTAGGTCGATTACTTGTGCCCCAAGTAACTTCGGACTTCTCGTTTATCAAGGATTGTCGTGGATGGGTTAAGTCCACATAAAGTTCTTTTTTATGCCTTGAGGCCAAGGACTTTTAAACTAATCAGATTTACATGCCTGCGGGCTTAGGACTTGGATCTGATTTAAACACTGAAGATATATTTAAATCGGATCCAAGTACTGAGAAAGCTTTGTCATCGTGATTTTGCTAGAAACAACTTGCATATAACTAGAAATATACAACATATTGCTAGACTTTAAATAAAGAGAAGACAAAGACAGAACAAAGCAGGTCGGGAAGATTAAACCTTATCAATTAAGGCCGATCGTCTTGCAGGTCCCTATCTTTGTAGTTCTGTCAAGGGTCTGAAAGCTTAGAGGGGGAGAGGGGAAGGGAGAATACAAAAGGTGAATCGATACTATGACAAGTTTGAAAAAGGTAGCAGAGCTATTACAAAGGTTAGGAGAAAAGACTATCCCGCGGGGGATGAAGGCTTGAGCTGACTACAGCTTTGTTTTGAAAGGCAAATCTGGCTTTTTGAGCAGAGTTTGTGCTTTTGTTTGTTTGATTGAGTGTCCCTATCTTTGTCTTCTCTTCCTCCTTTTATAGACGACTTGGTTTGGCTCCTGTAGCAACAGCTTTGCCCGAATGCGGTCTGAGGGTGATGACTCAACAGTTTTATTACATGTAATGTCCCCCATAAAGTACTTTATGGGCTGTGCAGTCTGATCAGTCTACACCACTTGGTCCTTGGGTAGGTAGGCAAGTGGCCTTTGTGAATTGTATCAAGTCAGAAAAGGCCCTTTCCTGCTTTCCCAAGTTTCGGCCGGGCTTTGATCTTCTATTCATCCAGGCCTCCTTTTGGGCCGACTTCATCCTTGGGCCAAAAATCAAGTTTTAATCCAAACAGTGCCCCCTTCAATTGATATTAAACCTGGAATTCCAGGCGCCAATATTAATTGAAAGAAACTCCTTATTATACCCATGAAACCTTTGCGATTGAACTTCTCAATTTTCTGTGTTCCGTAGAAAGAAATCCTTCTGCGATTAAAAATTTTCCTGCTTCCCACTATTCTTTTCTATTGCCCGACCAATTTGCATCCTTATCATCTTCCTTGTTTTCTCTCTCGACCTTCATAAAAATGGCTTCAAGATCCAGCCAAACACCACCATCTTACGAATTCGGCGACGAAATCGCCACTCTACGCCGTCTACTCAACGGGCTGCATCGTCCACGGGCAGGTTTATATTCTGAGCTTTTCTTTGAGACGCATGAAATACAATCATTGGGCCCCGCCTGGATTTCTCGGGTCCCCTCAGTGGTGGAAAGCAACATGCCGAGGGAGAACTGGTTTACCCCAAATCCCTATTCGGCTAGTTCGGGCATCTCCTCCTCGAAATGGTCATCATATCGTCGAGGATTTCCCTTGATGAATGATCCTACCTGGGCCCAATGGGTTGATGAATTAGAGCCTTCCTTCAAGCAGAAATGGATGAATAACGGAATTTATGAACTGATCATGCTTTCGAAGACTTCAGTTATCCCTAAGCCCGAATTAGTTACTTCTGCCCTCCTTTTTTGGAATACGGGCACAAATACTTTCGATTTCCGTATGGGCCCCATGTCTCCCACCATTCTTGATATGGCCCAGGTCTTCGGTTTAAGGCCATCGGGCAGGATAGTGGACGTTACTCAAGACTGGGTTCCGTCTTCTACCACCGGGAACTCGAGTTCATCTACCCCCTTCCTTCCTCTGAGCTATAACTCCGCCACTTTCAAGAGTTATGGGACCTCCTTTAAAGGATTCATTCCTTTTGTAAAGGCAAATTTTGGGGCAGGCTCCCCTCGGGCTGACAAAGATCAAGAGCATATGTATTTTCTTTTATACTGGCTCAACAAGCACATCTTCCCCAACAAATCTAAAGGAGTGATGGTAGAATGGATCCCCTAGTAGAGATTCTTCACAATTTTGATGATGTAACCATAGGTCCATTCCTTCTTTCTCATCTCTATCACCTTCTTTTTGAAATGACTCGAGACGAGCCATTCGAGACCAACTTGAATGGACCCATCTGGATGATACAAATCTGGCTGCAATGGTATTTTCCAGAATTTCGAGCTGCTAATCTGGAGTTCCCAGAGGGTGTGGCTCCTGCCCGAATCCTGGCTGAAGCTCCCCCTGTAGACCATTCTACCTTTGCCTGTTTTTACTTTTTCAGAGTCTGCAGGACTCGATCAGACTTAGAATGGGGTGCGTCAGTCTTGAGGAGATATCCTTGGTTCTCTGACCAAGCCTTCCAAGATGCCACTGGTGAGGATGCTACCCCCCCTTGCAGGGAAAAATTTATCAGCTGCATTCAACCGAGAGACTTGGCCTGGGGGGTTCGGGGCAATAAATATGATCGAGGCTTGGAAGTATACCATCCTAACTTCTGCAGCAGGCAGTTAGGATTTAGGCAAGCCATACCTGTCCCCTTCTTTGACTCTGTCCATTGTGGCACCTCATTCCGGTTACAGACTCCATCTGAAGTGACATTCCGAGCCGCCCGACGCAGCCTGGATGTAATGAGTCAAGCAGCCAGTCATTCCGTTGTTCTTAATTTTGAATGTACCTCGCTGTTTTCCTCTTGGTGGGAGGACAAATGGACTAAAAAGTATGGAGGAGATTTGAAGGTGAATCACGATCGCATATTCAGCCAGCTTTCTCTTAAATCGTATCCTGGCTCGGGCGAGCTTGCAAATTGGAAGGAGATGATTCAGGAGAAAAACCGGTCACTTCTGATAGGTACTTCTCTTTCAACTCGATTTGGCTTCCCTTCTGAAGTCCTTCTATCCTTACTTTTGCTGAATTCTGCAGCTCCAATGGATGTTGAATTGGAAATCATTGAATCCGAAGATGACTCCGCTGATGCTGCAATTCTTCATGGTGCTGCCGCAGAGGTTGAGAGACGAGAAGCCGGGGAGGGGACGG